GAGGCTATCCTGCTTCTGATCTCGTATTTAGTTGTCTCTGACAAATCTCTTTGATACGCTTCGACAGCCTCAACACTTGATACTATCGTCTCAGTCGGGATTCGTCTAGGTGTTATGGAATGTTTTAGTCCGTAAGATAGTAGTCGCGTTTCCGATTCGTCTAATGAGCGGGAAGAAATATTCCTCACCCAGTTATCGTCATGTTTATATCTTGTACGTGTTTTAGTTTGTTTTAAGCGTTCAAGTTTTGTTGTTGTTTGATTTGGTGATGTGTCTCTGTCTTTTGCTCGTTTCTCTGCAATAGTTTGTATTACTATGGACTCGGCAAAATGCATTACTTACAGTGCTGACTATAGACAACGGTTTACATTTGATAGTTGGTATACCAGCTTGGAACAAACCCCCTGAAAAGATCACAGCAATTACCGGCACCTTACAAACGACATATTCACAATACAAACAAACGATACACTTCACACTAATTCACAATGAATATACACAATTGATAACCCACACATTACAAATAAAAACATCACACCTAAATCACACATCACAACTAAAAATGAAATATTTCACTTCACACTAATTCACAATGACAATAAACATTTCCTCTACACACAATACAATGACGTAAGAGCCAGATAAAAAATACGGCTAACCTGACGTTTACTCCTCATTTGACTCTGAAGATGACTACTGCTAAGGTTGTCGAAACGTCAGTCAACAACAACAAGAACAGTCCTTCTCAGGACTTTATTAACCTGGATGATCATCATTTAAAAACATGTAACGATACTCCCGGGCTCAAACCATTTACTTTAAGAAACTAACGTTGTTTGAATATGATGTACTTTGGAAATTTTATGTTAGGTTAGGTAAAAGGGGTAAATCGTATTATAATGAACTATAAAAATTGATTAAAAGTTGCTTATAGACAATACTCCTTTTTTGCTTTATAGTATTTTATCTATGAAAGGAAACTAACATCTGCAGTGCACATTTTTCTTTTAGTTTATAGAGACACTTGAAATAGTTGACCGATTTGAATAACGTCAAAATAAAAATATTTCTTCCCGTGGTGTTGTTATAAGGAATTAAAATAGTTTTGTCTGTTATTTTCAATGTAAATGGTATTTCTTCGAATTGCTGAAAAAAATATTTTTGTTGCATATTTTCTCTGACACTAAATTTCTGCAATTACGGTTCTTTATCCAAAATATAATTAAAAATCATCAAAATTTGTGTCCCCGTCCACAGAAAAGTACTTGTCTTGTGTTGATATCAAAATTCAAAAAGCCAATATTACTAGCACTTTAGGACAAAACAGTTTCTGCTTCAGTTATATTTTCTCTAAGCTGCTGTTTGAGAAGAATAGAAAACAACTCGTCAGAATTCAAAAGAGAAATTTCATTGATAGCCAAATCGCCTCTTCAATGGTAAGTAATGAAAACATAAAGAAAACCTAAAATTTAGAGCATATCACATAATTTAAGAACAATAGCTCTTATAGATTAAACTTCCTTATCAAGACCATACATTTCATTTATCATAGTCATGCTTATACGCAATCCAACAGATAATCTAACACAATCTTTATCTTATAATATAATTAAATCATTATGAAACGTTTTTGTATGTTTTTTTTAAACATTTTCTGTAGTTAGGAGTAGCGCAGCCATGCTTCATGTATACATAACTGCCATTTGGTAATTAGACTAACTTAAAATTCTTCAAAAAGTTTTTACTGTTTTGCAAATCTTTTTATCATTTTATATTTATCCTTATGATGAAAAGAAAAACGAATTGATTGAACACAACCAATGATAAAGTTCTACTAATTGATATTTATGAATGTCTGGAAATATATTATATCATAATTCCATTGATACGCCAGAGAAAATAGTAGCTACATCAAAAATATTTGAAGCAACCATCATTAAGTATTTTTTTCTAAATAGAGATAACAAAAAAATGTTTTTTAACTATCATAGACATTTAAGAATAATAAAATATTTGCAAACGGTTTTACGTTTTTACATGAGAATGATAGTAAACTAAAACTTGAATGCATGTGTGATAAAGAATATTTGATTGGACATTAAAACTAAGTTTTAGGATTGAGGGAAATAATAAAGAAAGAGAGGTACATAATTCAACAAATTGAAATGGGGCAAATCATCATCAAACATCAATACAGAAGTCATTTTTAAAAGCAAGGAATGCATGCAAAATAAATGATACATTTGTCGTCTCTTGTTTCTTCTGCTACAATTATTCAATATTGCAAGAATATTTTTAACAGATGGAAAACGCCTTTTAATTGTCTGAAACAATATATTTGAACATTAAAACTTTTTAATACTTCAAAGTTGAATTCCTCTATTTAGTTCTTTATACTTTTTTATATTAGCAATTCTGTCGAAATGCTTATAAATTTCATTCATTCAGAACTTATAGAATTATGAGAGTCGAACTTCTCTTTACGACTGACAGATGTTGTAAACAGAATATCATGTATATCATGTAAAATGTAAGTCGAAAATTGTGCTCTGAAAATGTTTATGAGGGGAAGGGTCTGCAACCACTAATGTGTCTTTTTGTCCTTATTTTCTGCTTTTTGAGAGAGGAAAGAGAATGAATACATTGAAATAAACTAAATTTATTAAAAACATGGTAAATTAAAATCATGTGAAATGGGATGTATAATAATAATCACCTAAGAAACTAGCCTTGTCTGAATTTGATATACTTTAGAAAGTTTTATGTTGCGTTAAGTAAAATGTGGGTAAAACATATTATAATGAACTATAAAAATTGAACAAAAGTTGCTTATAGACAACACTCCGTTTTTGGCTTTATAGTATCTTATCTATGAGCGGAAACTAACATCTCCAGTGCACATTTTTCTTTTAGTTTATAGAGACACTTGAAATAGTTGACGAATTTGAATAACGTCATCATAAACATTTTTTTCCCGGGGTGTTGTTATAAGGAATTAAATAATTTGGTCTGTTATTTTCAATGTAAATGGTATTTCTTCGAATTGCTGAAAAAATATTTTTGTTGCATATTTTCTCTGACAATAAATTTCTGCAATTACGGCTCTTTATCCAAAATATAATTAAAAATCATCAAAATTTGTGTCCCCGTCCACAGAAAAGTACTTGTCTAGTGTTGATATCAAAATTCAAGAAGCCAATATTACTAGCACTTTAGGACAAGACAGTTTCTGCTTCAGTTATATTTTTTCTAAGCTGCTGTTTGAGAAGAATAGAAAACAACTCGTAAGAATTCAAAAGAGAAATCTCATTGATAGCCAAATCGTCTCTTCAATGGTAAGCAAAGAAAACATAAAGAAAACCTAAAATTCAGAGCCTATCACATAATGCAAAAATAATAGCTCTTATGGATTTAACTTCCTTATCAAGACCATACATTTCATTTATCATAGTCATACTTATACGTAATCCAACAGATAATCTAACACAATCTTTATCTTATATAAAACATTTTTGTATGTTTTTTTAAACATTTTCTGTAGTTTAGAGTAGCGCAGCTAATCATCATATATACATAGCTACCATTTGGTAATTTGACCAGTCTAAAATTACTTAAAAATCTTTTACCCTTTCACAAATCTTTTTATCATTTTATGTCTATCCTTATGATGGAAACAAAAACGAATTTATTGATCACAACTAAAGATAAAGTTCTACTTATTTATATTTATGAATGTCTAGAAATATATTATATCATATTTCCAATGATACGCCAGAGAAAATATTAGCTACATTAAAAATATTTGAAGCAACGATCATTAAGTATTTTTTTCTAAATAGAGATAAACAAAAAGATGTTTTTTAACTATCATAGACATTTAAGAATAATAAAATATTTGCAAACGGTTTTACGTTTTTACATGAGAATGATAGTAAACTAAAACTTGAATGCATGTGTGATAAAGAATATTTGATTGGACATTAAAACTAAGTTTTAGGATTGAGGGAAATAATAAAGAAAGAGAGGTACATAATTCAACAAATTGAAATGGGGCAAATCATCATCAAACATCAATACAGAAGTCATTTTTAAAAGCAAGGAATGCATGTAGAACAAATGATACATTTTTCGTCTCTTGTTTCTTCTGCTACAATTATTCAATATTGAAAGAATATTTTTGACAAATGGTAAATGCCTTTTAATTGTCTAAAACAAAATATTTGAAGAAGTAAGAGTTTTTTAGCTTTTTAGATTTTCTTTACTTTAGCAGTTCTGTCAAAATACTCATAAATTTCATTCAATTCAGAATTTATATAATTATGAGAGTCGAACTTCTCTATACGACTGACAGATGTTGTAAAGCAGAATATCATGTATTGTTTAACGGCCTTCATTTCTGTAACTAGACGACATGTAGTTACAGAGAGGCCAGCGAGTCTGTTTAACACTGCGCAACAGATTATTTGGCATTTAATTTTGCTGGCTTAGTTAAGCAATATGTCTTTCCCATTCATCTGGTAGACTGAGTTAACATGAGCAAATTTGAAATCAACCCATTTTAAATTTTTTCTAAACCGCTCTGGGTGAATTTCATATATTGCGTCTTTTCCTTATAGTGGACATTGAAATGTTTTATTTCTTTCTATGCTTTCGTTTGCTAGAAACCTTACATCTATTTATTCACAACACGTTCTAGGTGGATGAACTCTACTTATATGAATTCTTGTAAACATGAGTCTTTGTAATGAACAATTTGTCTAATCTATTGCAACAATATCCAATCATCATAAATTATCTGAAAGCAAACGTGAACATACTTTTTGGAGAAGGAAGTTAAAATGTTACATAATTATAGAAATCAATACTTGATTTATATACCAAAAATGTTTAAGAACAAATGGTTATATGATTATATTGATGATAAGCCTTTCATAAATAAAGTAAATGTTTTACTACAAAAGCTTTAAAGAAATTAGTAACCGTCCACCTTCTAATAAATAGAAAATAAAGATGATATCAAGCTCAACAAAAGCGTTTCTTGGGACTCTCATAATCCTGTCTATTAGTGGCCAAATAGTAAATGGTAATGACGACATATCAATCTGCAAGAAAAGCTTAGAGACATTAAAAGACAACGTGAAAGAATGGATGGAAACTTGCGTTGATAAAAATGGCAATGACGATAACACAACTGCATGCAAGGAAGTAAAACAATACAACAAAGAAATGATGCAAATGCAAACAGAAATGTGTTTTTACAAAGGTATAATCTTTAGATTTGACAAACTTTCATAGTTTCTTGTTCATAGCACCAAAAAATATTCAACAAAAATAGGTAGAAGTTGTGCAGCCAATCTAATTTCAGTTATTAGTAATATTTCTACAGTGAAAAATTCTTTCTAAAAATACTTATTCTGGTCTTTCACCAAATATTATGATCGTAAAGTCTATAATAATTTGCATTTTTATAATCCACTGTCATCGTTGTTATTTATAATTTTTTTATTTATTTAGATGTTTATCCAAAGCCATATTTGATTATTATGAGCTTTGATAAAATATACTCTGTTGATTCTATTACTGGAGATATTCATGTCAGCACTATTAATGGCTCCAGTAAGAATAAATCTGACCATGCATCAAGATATAATGACATAGAAATTGATGTAGTTGAGAATGTGCTTTACTACATTGATGACAAAGACATCAAACGGGGAAATCTTGACTTGACTAGAAACGAAATTTTTGCGAAAAATGTTTTTGCTCATGACATTACAGTTGACTGGATTGGTCGTCGTATCTTTTACATTGACTCCACGAACATTATCTACCAAATTTATTTGAAAAATAAAACTACAAGTGTTATGAGGCTTCAACCAGGCTTACAATTTTCCAGCATTGCATTTGACTCAAAACATGGGTAAGGCGATAGTGAAATTCTTTTTATTTACTTGTAAGCGTAAAATTAATAAACTATGTCACTCTATTGGAGGGTTTTCTTACGTAAGGTAAGAGTTTTTGTTTTTAGAGACGGTGTTTTAATTTAATAGAAAAGTTGAATTTTATAAGTCCGTATTATGGTTTGTTATTTAAAGGTTTAATAATAGAAAAAATATCGATTTTCCAGGAAATCAAAACTCGCTTTTCCCGAGGGAGCGAATATTAAGTATTTTGTTGGCTATAAAGAAACAAACGTCATATAGTTCGACAGATTTTATTAAAATCAACGTCTTTCGGAGAGATTTGGCCAGCAAAATTTTATTGCGTGACTATAAGGCATTTCAAACCAACTGCAATAATGAACACGTTTCGTGTGATTATTCAGCACACATGCAGTAGAAAATAACATGCAGATCCTGAAATTTCAAAATCGACAGCGATATTTATGTTGAGCAATCAAAGAGCTTTGACAAAAAAGGTAACAACGGAGGGATCAATGTTTATATATGATGAAGTCATTAAATGAAATAAAACAGAGCGGTAGAAACTGAAATAAAATATTAAATAATTACTTTGCACATAAAATTTTAGTCAAATACTCACAGAGCCTTGGCTTTCCACAACCTACAAAAAAGTAGTACAACTTCACTGTGTAACTTAGTGTTGTACATTTAATTCCATTAATTGTTTAGGCTGGCCACCTAAGCGCTTTTCTATGACAGAAAATGCAATTTGCTTGACGCCTCCATGGTAATCATATGCTTAATAAGATATGCCCTACACATAGGATTTCAACAAATTGGAAGCATTGTTTGTTGCTATACTGTGCTCTTTTGTATACGTTTTTGAGGCAGTGTAAGGGATGTGCAACAATCTCAATACGGAATGGCAATAAAGTTTTAAAATATTCACGAATGTGGTGAACGTAAAAAACTTCAACTTTTCGTTTTGTAATGAAGATAAAAGAACTACACACATTCCACGTAGTTACATGAAAAATATAAAATGGATTTTAGTTTTCAAAATGTGGCAATTTAGAAAAACATAAAATATATCAAGTTTATAGTTTTCAAGCCTTCTTTAACTTGCATTTAATGGCAGAGTATATTGAAAAGTCAAGAGCTGCAAATTAAGTGGCTGCACACTTCCCTTTAATAAATTCAATCACACATCCAATCAAATCACCTGAATGGAAAGTAATTCCACTACCTTTAGTTCATGCAGTGTTTCTTAGTGTAGCTTAGGCAAACGTTAGGTCTGTAGTTGCTCCACTGATGATGAATCTGAAGATAATAATCATGTGATTAAAAAGAAATTGGCTTAAAAGCCTTGTGGAGCGAGAACTTTCTGAATATGTTATAGATAATTTACGACTTTAAAATAATTTCCTCTTCTAACGATTCTATAAACTCTCCATTCATGAAAGCCTTCTAATAAATAAATACAAGCCATCACTCTTCGTGCAAGGAGGTTCCATTCCACTTAACCTCTCTTAACTTCACTAAATTTTACTTCCCAACTTCTTTATCATGTAATCCATTTGACACAGCCTCCTTTAGTCGTAATTTAACACCTTTTGTAAATACAATATCTTGTCTTAAAATCTCCTTATAAAATTATTACTTGCCTGAATATGTCTTGAGTAAGGACAAAACGTCAGTATAAATTCAATTTTACAGCTTTTGGTCTATTTCTGTAGCTCTAATTAAAACTTTATGTTAGGCATTAATTGTTATCATATTACAAGAAAAAATTAAGTTTTACAAACACAAAAATCCAAAAGAACGGTAATATATACGAGAAAGTTTTAAAGAGTTCGGGGCAAGTGCAATGAACGACAAGAAGACATGGACTTTGCTGTTACTCAAATGCGTAATATATTTAAGAAATGTATATGAGAATGCAAATATGCTGCGATGATAATCAAAACTGCCAGTTGCATCAAACATTTTCGATAAAGTAAAGGCCATAGTGTTCAAGCAGTTTTCGCAGCTTGTCCAATCCAAAGATTCTTAAAAACACGAACATGACATGGCGATAGAATTATCATTTTTAAATGATACCAATAGCGTTAGCTCAGTGTCAATCTTTTTCTGATTTTTCAGAAAAACAATGAAAAAATTTGACAATTAAAATGAGAAGGTTAAGATAGTTTTAAAAAATCGTTTGCCCAAACAAACAGAAAAAAAGTATCAACAAAAGACAATGTTTTTGAAGCTATAGCTCTTTTAAAGACATTTGTGGACGATGATCCATCCAAGGAGCTGCTACTTTTCATTCAAGATGAAACTGAAAATTAAGAAAGCTTAAAATTGAAACGACAAAGCTTTTTTAATTTATATCTACATGAAATGGTGCATATCATTTACCAACACCAAATTTTCAATTCGAACAAAAATTCCACGCATCTGATAATTTTCAGCATTATCAATTACCACCACAATTCATTCAGCAGCCACTCCAAACTACAGCATTACTCATTCCGACAATAATCTCAAACAATACCAATCATTATAGAAGTTATGTGAATAAAATAACGTATTACATTTATTATTATGTTCTGAACCACATGCAATGTTTAATTACTTCATATATTTTAGTTCGGTTTTTAAAGAGAGATTTCAAATGATAAAGGTGATCTTTTCCTGTTAGTTACAATAGCTTTATGTTGCTATATTATCAAATTTTATAAATATGTTCCATTAAACCGTCTATATATGAAGGTAGTTCTGAATACTTTGACAACATCTTTGTCTAAACTAAAAAAGTATTCTATCTTTCCTTTCTTGCATATATTAGCCCAATTGTTTTATGTATTTCAGTACGTATAGAGAAAATTAATGTACAAAACAAATATTTTTATTAAGGTATCTATTCTTGGCAGAAAGTACAGAACTTTTCTTATGGTTATGGAGCATGACTGCAAATAAACATCATATTCTTTCAGTTTCACTTCAGTCAATAGCACATGATCTAACGCTTGACATGGCTAAAGAGAAGATTTATTGGCGAGTTTCAAACGGAAATATTTTTTTTTATGTTTACCACTCCCAAAATGTATATGATTTTGGAACTTCACGAGGTCCCATGGCAGTATTTGGGGATTTCATTTATATCATGACTAGTGTTGGAAAAAGTGTCGTTAGTGTCCATAACACAACAGATCAACGTACGAGACGTAAATATTTTCTTCCTGTAAACAACAGTTATCTTGATTTGGCTGTAGCAATACACAGTATCACTCCTGACAAAAACGGTAGTTAAATATTTACTTATTTGACATAATAATCTGAGACTTGCAAAAACTCCCACGCTAATGTTCATAAAATAGAAAGACGTTAAAAAGTTCAAAGTTACATTGCCTTAGTAAACGGTTGTTCTTCCTTCCAAAATTATAAAAATTTGATGAACATTAAGTTCAAAGTGCAAAGTGTCTAATTTGGACATTTTGCCGTTTGTCTATTCTTATCAAACTTCTTGGGTATTAAATTTAAGTCTTTATTGTTTCTTACATCATTTAAACAATTACTTGGGCTTGAAATCAGTCTTAAATAAAAAAATCATAAAAATAGATTGAAAAACGTCCAAATTGAGCATGTTGTGCAGTGAGCTTAAGATTTATCAAATTTCTTAAAATTTCAGTATATTGCAAAACATAGTTTAGGCTTATACATCTTTGGATTAAACTAGATTTGAAACTTTTCATTTTCTTTGTGCATGCTGTTTAAATTGAGGCGATTACGAAGTACTCACATGGTTTTGAGATTTGTTTTTTCATTCATTTTACTTTAAATAAACAAGGCAAAGCCATGCCAAAATATATGAGCTTTGACACATTTTGTGAGAACTACTGATGAATTGATAATTTTCTGAACATTTTTCAATTATCTAACTTCTTTAGTATATCCCTTATAGTGTCCAAAACAGCCAGCAAATTTCTTCATACTCTGTAAATTTTCAACATTTATTTAATTGTTTTGTTTTTACGAAATGCGCGAACGCCAAAATTACCAACATTGCATAACAAACTTGCTTGCTGGGTACGTCAACGTGGATATTGAGTGACAAATTGCATTCTTTGAGGAAGAATATGTTTCGTTTAAAATCCCTGGTTAAGTTTATTTTTAATTTTATTGATCGATATAGCGACAAGCACTTTTCACTTTCCTTTGTGTGGACCCAACACATACTATCGTAAAATTAATGGAACATTGAACTGCACGTGTATGGAAGGATACTTTGGAGAATGTAACTCGTGCCACGGTACGGATTTATTACTGTCTTTATCAAGATTTTTTATCACCGATCATGAATAAAGAGCATCTCTGTGCAGTTTTAAAACTTTGTTCTTTGTTGAGAATCCTGAGCTGTTCTCTGTGCTGTTGCTTCTGTGCAAGGAGTTTGCTGCATCTACATTTTACATGTAACCACAAAAATAAGGCTCACAGCCACACATACAAGTTCATTATTACCAATACAATCAAGCAGGAAATCAGTAATAAATTTATGAAAAGCTTCAATACACTTAAAACTTCCTAAGCACACAACATTGAAAGTGTATGGTTCTCTAAATGACAATAGCATATGTTAACATTAACACATTTTGAGTTTCTCTACATTAAGGAGGGGGTAGGGTTAGGGTTTGGGTTAGGGTTTGGGTAAGGGTTATGGTTAAGTTTAACACTCCTCCTGAATTTAGTAATCTAGCCATGGCCCTGCTAACCTAGATACACCATATTAGACACTCTTGAGTTTATTATTGGTTGGCTTTCCTAAACTAAGAATTCTGTAAATACAAACTTTAAAAAGCATTTTGACAGACATGCTTCCAGTTCCAGACCTCCTAGAATGAGTGCACCTCAATAATATTACATCAAATGTCTTCAACCAATGGATTGTAGCTTTATGAACTTATTCCAAGAACAGACAAATATGGCCGTTGTCCCATTACTCAGTAGGCTATGTAGGCTGAAGCTTACATTCCCGCGTTTTTAAAACACCTGTTCTCTTTAAACATAGTTTTTACTCTTTCCCATTCTAGATGAGATAAATGATCAAAATTTCAATAATATATCCTGTTGGAAACTGTACGATATACTGTTATAATGCTCTATGTATAGAACTCATAAAGTAGTGAGTTTATCTCGTTCGAAATTTAAATTTATTCTATAATGTTTACACTATGAGTAACAAAACTGAAGCAAAGGCAATGGAGCATAAGAAATGGAAACGTCGTCAAAAGACTGGAATTTTTGGGAGAAAGTTATATCACTTAAATTCCCACAAATTTTTCTAAGCTTACAGGCCGCGCAGTTAGTCATCCGCCGCTTAGTATGGGTGGTATGCACTGATAGTGTTCATTCATACATATCCTGTTAACTTTAGATGTAAGAAAATTAGGTTTTACTATTAAGAATTCACTTCCTTTAAAAACCTAAATAAGCAATATTTTTAGGAGGTACAATAAATAAGGTCAAAAAATGTATGTAAATAATGGGTGATAACGTTTTTCAGTAGATGGCATTAAATTTCTACTGGGCTTAATAAAATTTCAAATGACTTTCTTACTATTCAATTTAACGCTATTAGAGTTAAACTGGAATTTTCTATTCAGACATAAAAAAATTTCATGTAAGCACACATTACAATGAAATTGACTTTATATTCTGAACTTGAGTATATTGCAAAACAGCATCCCCATTTCAAATGAAATTCACAGTAGGCAATAATATCCATATCTTACATGCAATGCTTGTGTTCTGTAGGTTTTCAGCCTGTGAAACATGAAACAAGCAATTTTTAACAAATAATAATAATACCTAGTAATGATTTCATTCGCTTAAAAACACTTTTTCACAAAATTCAGTCGTTTATCATATCATAACAGAACCTTGAGAAACTGAATTTTTAACATTTTCAATTTAAATAGCCAAAGATTGCGCTGAGGTACAAAATAATGGCAAGAAGGAAAGTGGAGTTTATCAAATTGATCCTGATGGTCAAGGATCTTTTAATGTCTACTGTGACATGACTTCATATAGTGGTGGCTGGACTGTATTTCAAAGACGCCAGGATGGAAGTGTTGATTTCTATCGAGGGTGGAATGACTATAAAGAAGGTTTTGGTGATCTTAGTTCTGAATTTTGGCTTGGATTGGATAAAATATACCGACTAACATCAGCAAGGAGAAATAAACTTCGTGTAGACCTGGGAGACTGGTCAGGAAACAAAGCATATGCTGAATATGATTATTTTGCTGTAAAGAATGAAAGTAAAAAATATCAACTAAGTCTTGGTAAATACTATTCTGGTAAGTTAATACGTTAATATAAACGTTTGAGGAAAAAACATTTTGATATATACAATATTTTTGAATGATATGAGTGATTGCAGTTTGCAACGGATTATTCTCCAACTTTTGTTAAAAACGGATAGTAACGGTTGATTTCGAACTAAAGCCTTGTTTGTCAATAAAAGTATAATTAATTTTGAACTTAAAAACTTACCGAAAAAATACAATAAACAAACGTAAAAAGTCGTTCCAACTTGCAAACGATTCTGTTGCAACGATTGATTGTGACATGTAACGATTTTGATTAACTTATCATCAACATTAAATGCAAATTCAACTGCAGCTTTGTAAATTACGTAATGATAACCTAGCACCTGAACAACATTTAGCTAATAAACATGACTAAATTGTTTGGTACATAAGAGAGAATCTATACTGTGAATATCATTGTCTAATGATCATTGACTGAAATCTATTTTATACAATGCAAGCATTCAAGTAAGCCCCTAGTAATTAATTGTAAATGCAAGTTTCAATGCCTAAATTATATATACATTATTACTTGTTCTTACATATAAAAGTTTTTTATGAACTTAACAACAACCTAAAACATAACAGAAATTTATTTAAGTTTACATGGACAATTCACATTTATAAGCATGAAACACAAATATATCAATTGAGCGTCGGAAAATACCCATGTACGCCATTAAGTAAGGTCAAACTTTACATACACCGAACAGAGCCCTCTATTTGTAAGAGTTGGGACATGTATTGTTCTCTGGTTTGCGAACGTTTACTGGACAATATCGATCACATGATTAATTTCCGCCATTTTCGTTCCTAATTTTGAAATTTGAACTAGTGTTTATATGGCAATTATTATAAGTTTGTTTGTATTTTGAGAAAATACTTTGATTTTTTGGAGGTATGGTTACAATAATTGTTTATTTGATAGCTAAAACATGTAACTGCATATCGCCATAATTATGGATCGAGAAAAAAGAAAGAAATGGCTTTACGATAGACTGGATTGTGTGTAGTGAGCATTGTGTCTAACTGATCTTTATCTAAAGGTTTATTTACGAAGATTGTTTTCGAGTAAAAAATCATTGGAAATATTTCTCCTAATGCTAACGATTCAATAGTTTTCTTACATACAAAGCCTGTTCTTTATAGAAAGATTATGACTTATCATTATTACTCTAATTTACAAGTTCTTAACCACTTCAAGAGATAATTATTGCTAATCCAATATGCTAAAATAATATACTTTCGAATATTGTATTTTGCATCTTTAGGAAATCCTTTGAAAGTATAGTATCAGTAATCATAAATAAAATATTTACTGAAACAGCTGGGTAAAATACATTACTGGTAATGAAATACAAATTCTGACTGTACTTTAAACCAGAGCATATTCAATTTGGTTATCAATGATTTGTTCTGGTCTTTACATAATCAATAATTTGGTGTGGTCATTGGTCTTTATAATTTGGTAAACATGCAGAAGTTTTGTCATTACTCAACTTATTATTTTTTTAAGATAGATTAAAACTTGGATCAGACTCATATTCAATGTCAAAGTCTGTACAAACAGTGACATTTGTAGCAAACACGACTGTTCTTTAACAGCAGAATTGTTTTATAATACACAAACATAATTTCCTTTTCAACAAATGCTCAGTTTCACAATCAATAAGAAATCAACAACTTCACATTAGATTAATAGAACATAAGAGCTACTGCATCTAACAAATATTTTAAATTCATAATTTTCCAGCAAAAATTTTTTGTGATCTATCTGCATTAAATTTTTATGCCTGGACTACATTGCAAAATATGTACTACCTAAGCAAAATTTCACGACCACAGTGCTTCAAAACAAAACTTGGATAACACTGATTCAATGGTAGGCACAGTTTAAGTCAAAATATATTATAGCAGCTCAATTGTAAATTCAAAATACTTTTTAGTTTTAGAATAAGATTATTAGTGGTGAATTTCTAAAGAATATATTTTACCAGTTGAGTCGCCTCTACGTTTTCTAAATGTAAATATAACCAAAATGAGCTGCAGTGATTTATTTTACATACCTTATACCTGAAAGCATTGATTCAAATCTGGAGATATGTGTAGTAACGTGTTTTCCCGAACAGGAATATGCAGCCAAAATGTCGAGTATTTTCTTTATCGCTGGTAAATTATAAGCAATGAAAACAAATATCTTGGTGCTGTAGTTGAAAACTGCGAGAATATACGTTCACATACGTAAAAACGTCTAGCAGTGGGTCACGATTAGTTTCAAAGCACGAACTAGTCAACATCGAATGTAGCTAAAATCTGCGAAATTGAGTTTGGTTTGCAGTAATTATTCACAAAAACGCCAAAAGCTTGATTGTGGTTTCCGATATGTTTAAAATTTCCATTAAACAAGGCGGAATTTTATTATTCTTTTGCTCATTTAGCCAATTTCACACAGTTTTATTATAAGTTTAACTTGCAAGTAGTCACGAAAATGGCGGCTCCGCGCTCACCCCAGACCCGTTGTCCTAACTCTTACAAATAGAGGGCTCTGGCACCGAACGCATTAAAGACAAAAGAACCATTGTCAAATGAAGATTGACTGAAGTCCTTTTTATATCTAAGCCTCTAATAATCAATTGTAAATGCAAGTGTCAATGCCTAAATGATATATACATTAAACTTGTGTTAATGGAAGTTCAGAAGAATTCTATAACTGCATTAAATGCGATTTTTGAAAGGTATTACTTTTCTTAGGAACTGCTGGAGATTCATTATCTTTTCATAAATACATGGCGTTTACAACAAAAGATTCCCATAATGATAAAGTTATTGGGAACTGTGCCATAATCTGCAAAGGTGCTTGGTGGTATAAGCATTGTTATGATTCTAACCTGAATGGACACTACATTAGTGGCAACCAAAACAATGTCAAAGGTGTGAACTGGTATAATTGGAAATATAACTATGAATCCTTAAAGTTTACTGAGATGAAAATAAAACCATAAAGAATTTCCAAAGACTGTGATGTCATAAATTTGATCATTATTTCTAATGAAACTTTCAACATTTAATAAAAACATTTTAGCTTTTATGTCTTTTAAAACAACCTTGATGAAATTGTTAAAAATGCGTTGGTGAAACAATACTTTTCTAATATTTTCCCTAAAAATTAGAGCTGATTTAGGTAATTATATGATTCTAATGTTACGTCATTTCACTCATTTTTTTAATGAGATGTTGCTCTTTAAAGCCCGGTTTCCATATGATCGTTCCTGTCGTAAGGATCGTCTTTGTCGCTTGCAATTTGTAGGAGCCACAGAGATGATCATATGGAAACGCTCAACTCAAACGACAAAAGCGATCCTTACGTTAGAAACGATCCTTGCGTATCGATCGTTTGAGATAGACTAGAGTTCTATCCTTGCGACAGAAACGACCGGAAACACCTTTTACGCGCTTGCATTTTTTTAATGGAAACCGGTGCAAAACGATCGTTACGAAGTAGCTAATTCTATCTTTTCGCCCCGTTTCCCGCAATCTTGATGTATCATGCATTTCATGCAATTATCTTACATCATTATTCACAATGTAAACAATGTCACTTTTGATTGGTCAACTACCTGCAAATAATTCTACATATCTGTAGGTAAGACGTCTATTTACAAATAACAGTTTGTCATCAAAAGCCGATTTTGAAAAAAATTCAAATCATTACCCGTGTCGCATGTTCTTAATCGTCTGAAGCAAGACTTCTTAAATGGAGAACGTCGCATGTATGTGTTGTAGGAGATCCTCAAAGCGTTCTTGTTGACGCCATATTTAAATTATATATGCACCAATTTATATATCATCAATACACGACATGCACACGACACACTGTACCATATCTAGATGGCGGCAACTGGAATACAGTATGAAGTATTAACTGACTTGCAAAAAGCTATCTTGAAGTCTTATTACGATCAGGGAATGAATACAACGGCAAAGGAGAAACATGAAACAATACAAAAGGCAGCTGATGAGGCAGGGACTACATTCGAAAAAGTTAAAAATCGTCATAAACAATTTGGTTTTATGAAAGGTACGGAAATTTGTCATCATGCAGTAAATGTAGTATTTGCGTAACATTTCCTGTATAGGTGGAGGTTTGCACGTAAGTATTTCTCCATATATTTTCTGACGCTTCTTAATACCTTATATGACAGATTAATAAAACACACTCAAGATCCTTTGAATGGTTACTACTGCGGATGGGATTTACTTTATAGTGATTTGATTCTATAAAATTTAAACACAAAATCCTTCTTGTAAACTTATGAGAAATCTTCGCAAAGTGTTACGTTGCTTTTACGTTTTTTCACAATGATAGCGCTCATTATGTACAAGTTTGATACATACGCATAAGACATTATTGCTGACTAACATCTGTTCTAAACAAATCCACATGGAAAGAACTTAGTGCAAAAGACCATGCATTTACACAAATGTTTGTAAAGAAATAACGCACACTATATGCAAAAAGTTCATGAAGTGGTGGTGCACATTTCTAACATTGTTCAATGTAGAATGTTCCATATAAGATATGGTATTTTTAAAATAGCAAATGGTGTTTAGGATACAATACCACGGTACGACAATACAACAAAGAAAAAGCCAAATTCAGTAACGTGATGTAAATCGAACGGTAAACAACACTATTTAACTGTTCATCTACTTACGAGATAACCAAAATTGATCGAGGATTTATAACTTTGAAGAATTGAAAACATTGCCCAAAAGAAATGAGAAAGAAGAGACAATCTATAGAAGAAAAGGAAAACAAAGCTGAATGATGTTGTTTCAGATTTTTTTTAAAACATAAGTAAAATTAAAACATTTATTCGCAGAAAGACAAAACCGACACCAATATGTAAGCACTTGCGTACAATGGCTATATAAGTACACCAATAGGCGATGAAATAAAAAAGAGAAATGCTTTCCAAAGTTATGTATTAATTGCATCAGTTATAACTTGACAAGCCCTAAGTATACTTAAAACTGACCTAAAAATGGTGTCAGTAAACTCTAAAACTGACTAAACGAAACCTTAAATAAACGAGAACTACGTCACTGAATCAGTCAAGACATACGTACCCATAGAAACCTAAAAAAGAATTTTAAAAATTTATCTTGCGCTGTATTAATATAAGAGGACTGTTGTTATAAAATTTACCTGTCAGCTTCGTCAATAACTTTTTCAATCTCGTCTAACGTGATTTCATTCATTTCATTATAAGCTTACAAATACGTACGGAAGAAAAATACCTGAAATATCGAAGAGTTTAGGTGATATAAAAACAGCAAACCTTCGGGATGATATCGAGGCGGATAAAAAAGCAGCTTTTGTGCAAATTTTTATAAGATTGTTAAAAACACAATATTTGCGTGATTTTCGACCTGGAATACATAATACCTCCGGCAGCTAAACACCGAGGGAAAAAGCTATACGGCAAAACACCGAGGGAAAAACATATATACGGTAAAACACCGAGGGAAAACCTATATACGGCAAAACACCGAGGGAAAAACATATATACGGCAAAACACCGAGGAAAAACATATACGGTAAAACACCGAGGGAAAACATATATACAAAACACCGAGGGAAAAAGCTACAAAACACCGAGGAAAAGCTATACGGCAAAAACACCAAGGGAAAAACATATATACGAGGGAAAACACGAGGAAAAACACATATACGGCAAAAACACCGAGGGAAAATATATATACGGCAAAACACCGAGGGAAAAACATATTTACGTCAAAACACCGAGGAAAAAGCTATACTACAAAACACAAGAGAAAAGCTACATTAAAACACCATGGAAAAACATATATACGGCAAAACACCGAGGTAAAAAGCTATACTACAAAACACCGAAGGAAAAAGCTATACGGTAAAACACCAAGGGAAAAACATATATATATACGGCAAAACACCGAGGGAAAAATATATATACGGCAAAACACCGAGGAAAAAATTATATACGGCAAAACACCGAGGAAAATATATATACGGCAACACACCGAGGGAAAAACATATATACGGCAAAAACCGAGGGAAAAATATATACACTAGGTGCCAAATAAATGAGTCCATTAAATATGGAATGCATATTTTTAGTTTTGAACCATATTACCACTCTGTCACAACAATGTTAGGTTTTAAGTTCTCGAAAAAGCAATGTCAGTACATGTTATGTCCTCCCTTAGCTTTCAAAATGACTTCAACTCTTTTTGGCATAGATTTAACAAGAATTTGAAGTGTAGATGGTTCAATATTATGCCAACATGTAGAGATTACATCCCATAGCCTGTCCTGGCTTGTTACGTTATGTTTCACTTTTTCTCTTTTTAACTCATCCCATAAGTAATCAATTGGATTAATATCTGGCGATTGAGGCGGAAATGCCATGAGATTCAATTCACCTTGATTTTCTTTATTCCTTAAATAATTTGTGCACAAGTTGGAGCTATGTTTCGGATCGTTATCCTGAAGTAAGGTAAATCCTCTCCCGCATAACCTTTTGCCAGATGGTACAGCATGCCTTTGGAGAATAGAATGGTAATACTTTTTGTCAAGATTGCCTTTTATTCTGTACTCTTAACACCATTAAAGCTGAAACAGCCCCAGACTTGAATGTTTCCACCCCCATGCTTCACGGTGGACTTGAGGCATTGACTTGACAATCTTTCACCACATCTTCGTCTCACATAAACACAGCGATTATTTCCATGTATTTCAAACTTTGATTCATCAGTAAAACGTACTTTTTTCGAATTGTCTGCGCTGTAATGCTTGTATTTTTTGGCCCATAAGAATCTCCTCCGCTTATTTATCGGGCGAAGCAACGGCTTGGAAGCTGCAACTCTTCCGTTCAGACCACTTCCAGCCAATCTCCTTCTTACTGTTGTTTTGCTGATTGCTTTCTCTCGGGTGGCGTTAATTGACGATTGAATGTCGCTAGCAGTTGCTCGTCTGTTGCGCAAAAGGCGCTTTATGAATGATCTTCTTTTTGTTGTTATACGTGGTCTCCCAGGTTTTGGTAAGCTGGAATAACATTGCGTCTTTTAAATCTTTCCACGGTTCGCCGCACAGCTCCTTTGGACACTCCCAGCATTGCAGCAACTGTTGTGGTAACCTTCGTTAGTGAGAGCAACAATTTGTCCTCTAACTCCTTCACTTAAATCTTTAGCCATTTCCCAATGTACTGCCCATGCGCTTAGATATTGTGAAATATCTTGCAAACAATTGTGGGAGACAATTTCAGGTCTCACTGCGCATTTTTAAGTGGCTACTGTAACTATATGTTTCAAAAGACACATTTTTCCCACAATTTTTCCAATATTGGAACTGGACTCATTTTTTTGGCACCTGGTGTATAAACGGCAAAACACCGAGGGAAAAACATATATAGGTCAAAACACCGAGGGAAAAAGCTATATACGGCAAAACACCGAGAGAAAAACATATATACGGTAAAACACCGAGGGAAAAATATATATACGTCAATACACCGAGGGAAAAACATATATACGGCAAAACACCGAGGGAAAAACATATACGTCAAAACACCGAGGGAAAATATATATGCGTCAATACACCGAGGGAAAAACATATATGCGATCAATACACCGAGGGAAAAACATATATACAAAACACCGAGGGAAAAATATATACGGCAAAACACCGAGGGAAAAATATATACGGTAAAACACCGAGGGAAAACATATATATACGGCAAAACACCGAGGGAAAAATATATATACGGCAAAACACCGAGGGAAAAATATATATACGGTAAAACACCGAGGGAAAAACATATATACGGCAACACACCGAGGGAAAAATATATATAAGGCAAAACACCGACGGAAAAATATATATAAGGCAAAACACCAAGGGAAATATATATATACCGCAAACACCGAGGAAAAAGCTATAGGGCAAAACACCGAGGGGAAAAAGCTATACGGCAAACGCTGTATAAACGCTAGATTTTTTGCACTCAAACGCTAGAAATCCTGTACATCTTCATCATCAACTGCAAGAGAATGAGAAAGTACATTTTCAACCACACTAGACTCAGTGGTCGAAATATACTTCATAAAGGAACTCAGGTACATATCTTCTGAGACATAATCTTCGCCAAAAAGGCAGGAGCACAAGAAAAGGCGAGAAATTTTGATTTGAAAATAGCGTTTTTGAGTGTAACCTTTCACAAGATTTCTAGCTATCGCTTGCCACTTCTCCCGCGAAACGTCATGATGAATCACTGGGACTCGTTCATCCTCGCCTGACATGAAACTATTTCATTCCAAAACAGAGAAAATGCATACCTGACAACGCCGACTGCTTCGCCCATCTCCTCGACACCTCTGGAATCTATCATCTTGACATCCACACACTTCTTTAAAATATCACCTTTTTCAAAATAGTGCAGCAAGTCAGCTTTCACATTACAACGATGAATAAGCAACACTTCTCGCTCCATAACTTCATTTGCCATACTTTCTGGGACAAAAGTAGACCCTTCAGAGCCCTCACCTGCAATGTACAACACTTAATAAAGTAAAGATGGGTGATAAGCCACAACATTTCTGACTGTTCTATTTTCAAATTCCATTCATCCACTTTCTTTAAATGAATTCCCAATGGTATTTTGCACCATCATCACAATACCCACTCATCATTTCATGAAATATTAATTGAACATCAAATTAGTGGATATTTTTCTTCTATAATATGTAACTAGAACATCTTTTTCGTAAAAAGACAGACAAGAACAAGTAGACTATATAGTACTCACGAACCTTGGAAAGTATTCATCTCAAAAGCATCACAATTTTGGAGGTTCTCTAGTGCATGTGGTGTTAAAATTGCATCATCAATAGATGACAGTCCAACCAAATCTGTGGAATGTGATTCTTTTCCAAGCTGTGGTTCTGTGCACAATAATTCATTTTGAGTCTTTGTTAGTCTGATTTCTTCCAAATCTAATTGTTCTTCCACAACATCATCAACTAATTCATTAGCAACTACAAAACAAATATTTGTATTTTTATCAAATATGTAATTTATTTAAATAAAGATTGTTGCATAACACACTTTTGCTGATTTCCTTATGCACTCATATTGGAATTCTCAAGTATAACATCAGAATGAATGTTGTCTTTTACAGTGTTAATGTGTAATATTTAATATTAGCTCCTTATAAAATAAGTGTTTAATTTTATTTTTATCATGATAGTTTCATAAAATTAACCAAATGGTGCAAAAATTATTATAAACTTGATCTTACAGAATTACTTTGATTACTAAATGCTCATAATTAGGTGTTAATCAACATTAATAAATTGCCTACACATTAACAAAGTGTTTTTTAAGAATTAATAGAAAACTCCCTCACTTTCATAATCCAAAGTCTTGCAAAGATACAAATTGACACTACTGCATGGCCTGCCAAGGCACTCCTTGTACTTTTCTACAGAGAATGTTTCTGTTGTGCCTGGTAAATATAAAACTCCATATCTGGGTACAACAAAACCCATTCTGAACTTTCATCATGGAGTTGCTTATTGTGAGCCAGTTGCTTCTCCACCCCAGCAGTTTTTATGACAACATGAGGATCACATTTTTTTACATCAATAGGAAAAAGTGAGCCTCACTTAATTTTCAAATGATTCCCATCCAGCTCAATCATTCCAATGTCTATCTGGGGTGGAAATAATATTCAGTTACAAGGTGTTCATGACCTGGCATCACAAAATGTTTGATGAAGAATGAAAAATTAGACATTTTAATGTAAAATACTATTCCATCCTTCTCCATGAAAACCTGAGCCTGATTTTTAAAGCATGCAACAAAAGTATTATTGTGTTGATTCAAATGAGTGCAAAAAAAACAAATTTCTTATAGCAGCATTTTATATTTCAGCTTAAATAGGTGGAAATTACATAAGTAATATCTATATAAAAACAAGCATTGAATATAATTATTCACTACCATCACCCACCCTTCAAATTATTATTGACATGACCTATTTGCAGAGGTAGTATTAATCACAAACCTTGACAGTCTCATTCTTCTTCCCCTTTTCGTGGAGACAAAACGATCTTGACGCTTCCTTGTCTCAACAGTGGCAAATGAAATATCTGCCAAATACTCTTTAAAAGTCAAAGGTTTGGTGGAACGAGGATCAGTAGAAGGCCCAGCTGATGTTGATGGATCACTATTCCGCAAGGTCTTTGGTTCGTCAGACTTTCGAAGATCCATCCCACAGTTAGCACAAAAATTACCCCTTGTATATAGTGAACTCTGCATACTGTACAAAACATGGAGTTCAAGTTCACATTACCAACAGCCGGGAAAGATAATACGAACATATACATGAACGCTAAATGTAATAAATACCTCACGAATGTTTTGTATTTATCTTACTTTCTCGAAATAAAACGAAAATATAAGAATATGACAATAATCTGCACTTCGACAACTTTGTTAATTCAGAACACATTTGGCTGGCAAACGTCACGTTTCCATGGTGTTAAAAATCTCAGTTCCAAACATTGAACTAAATATATTTAGTTCAATGGTTCCAAACAAGCGCCCCATTCGATTCAAAATGGAGACATTATCCATCGCTTCGCTTTTTTCTTTCTTCTCAGAAGAAAAGAAATATGTAAAAAAGGGGGAAAACCACTTTAAGTCAGATCACATTGAAGCATTTACTTACCAGCAGAGTGTTTTACGAGGAGAAGTACACGCAAGAATGAAACAAAAGGTTTATAAAGTGACGGTGAATGTCAAATGTCAAGATTAAGTTTTAGACTGTTTTTGTTGCCCAAATGAACACGAGGGCGAGATTTTCTCTAGTAGTGAAATGAAAAAAGGTTTGTTAATAAACTATTTGTTTTAAAAAATAATGATACTTGTCGGTTTTCAGTCCTCAAATTGACCTACCACTACTAGTTTGGTGTGAGGGAGTTGTGGTAACAGGCTATACATATATTTGCATTTTTATTAATAAACACAAGGATAACATGGTATTTAAAAGACATGGAAAATGGTACATCATTTAATGTTGTTTTCCTTGAAGGAAAATTCCCATATAAAAAGTGATGGGATGCTCATGGGAAATGTTCAGAAAGACTCCTTAAGGGTAACTGTGGGCAGTACTTGCTTTTATTTTTATCCCCAAAAGACATCCATTGTAAAACATATGTCAAAACTTTTTTAACTTCTGTTCTCCTAAACATGATAAAAGAATTCTCGCAGTGATGTAATTTGACACCCTATGTACACCCAGGCTGTAACAGATGATAAATATTGTAATCCCTAGGAGGTAAAATCATCCCTTTACTGTTATATTAGAATGCTACCCACCCTTAGCTGTATTTTCTTCTAAGTAAGCCTCAGTCTACAAATTATTTTATTTCTATTTGAACAACAATAATTATTAAAAAAACTGTCCAATGTAGTCTTCAAGCATAAAACTACTCAAAAACCATATCTTCACAATCCCTCTTCGATGAAAGGAAATTGCAAATTTACAAGTGCTGCACATAACTGAAACAAAATGTCAGCATAGCAGCACGAATACAAAGAAATGACACCTAAAATTTTGAAGTCTTACAGCCTAGCATTGGCTCTTTTGACATGAATCCGTGCTTTAGCTATAGCGTTTGTTTTCTTGACCTCACTCTCTGTAAAACATCCTGGATAAGGAAAACCTTGTCCACCAGAATCATATCTCCTGCTGTCAAGTGATTAAGGAGTCCAGACTGTTGCACAATGGCCTTGTCTGAAATAGAACCTGGATACAGCCGACTGACATTAGTAATGACTCCATTTGGTGCAACACCAACTATTACCTTAAAGGAATTCATTCCTCTGTATGATAAATAGGTGGCATTTTGCTGACTCATCAATCCCGGTGCAGCAACCTCAATATCTGTGCAGTCTATAACAATCCGACAGGATTCAAATTGCCTGAAAAAGGAGGGTGCAGAGATCTTGTATTTTTCTGGGGATGGAATCGACGTCATTAGGTCATCCAACAAAATTTCATGCAAAACATGAGTGAATGCTATAACAATGTTAGAAATTGTGGCCACACTACAATGAAACAATTGGGCTAGGTGAAGCTGTGTGTTGTTCTGTCGTACTTTCATTAAAGTGATAAAAATTTGATCCTCAAAATTGATGGATTATACCTTCCAAAACACTAAGATTTAAGGTTTTGGCTACGGAAAATACAAAGCGACAGTTAAAAAGACAACTAGCTGAAGCTTCTATAATTCAGTATTCGATGATTCTCCCTCATGTCCTGATGTCAACTCTTCACCTGAATAGAGTCCGTAAATCTCACTTAAAATCACGTAATTCATCAAATTTTCACCGATTAAGGAATTATTTTTGAATATCAGTTCATACCTTATGAGTCAAACCCATCTCTTGTACTCGTCGATCTGCTTTGTAGCGCTTGGAAAAGCGAAGAACTTGCAAGTGTTGCCCTCCGACGAATGGCCACATGTAGGAGCAAAACAGTAAACCATTTTGCCCGTTTGACCCGCGTCCTTTACACTTCTTCAACAAAAGTTGATCCTTTGGATGACCCTTTAACCTTCCTGGGTTTTTTTATTGTCTTTTGTGGGATTACACTGGATAATTAAAGCTTTAGACATTGAAAACAAAGGAAGCCTGTCCAAAGCGCTCGCATAAGATATTTTGCTTAGAACTGCATTTTTTAGCGCCATGGTAACGAGACGTCACACTTAAGGACTCTATTTGAAATTGTGTTTGCATATTTAAATTTTCTTTGTGTATTTGAATTTGTGTTTATGTATTGCACCTCTGGGCCAACGCAAATTACTGCTAGTAATACAGTATTTTGAGATAATAATGCGTAAAATGAAAGAAATGCCTTTACGTCGAACTTACGAAATTTGATTGCGTATGGTGATTGTTGTGCTGAACTGCTTTTGATATAAGGTTCAATCAACTGACTCAAGTAGAGAACCATTTTTGGAACAAATAACATTGTAAATTTCGTGCTAATGCAGTTTCAATAGTTTTCTTACTCCAAAGCTTGTTTTTTAATCGAAGATGATTTCTTATTATGTTCTGAAATTGTTCAATTTACAAACTACTCAATTCTTATCCACTTCCACACTAAAACAAACAACTACACCAAATCACAGAAACTCTTACGATTTTCCATGTTGTATTTTGTATTTATAGTTCATCATTTTAAAATAAAGTAATTATAATTAGGATACTCACTAAAACAGCTGAGTACAATATATATTTGGTAATGAATTGTACAAATGTACCCTACTTCTGTAGCTCAAAGTAAAACATTACTTCTCTTCTAGACTTGTCAATGATATTTTAATTGTAGGTTTTGGTTTATAAGATCACAGAGGCATATCTCCATAATTTCAGCTATTTGGGCTCTTTAATGTATATTACAACGGTTGCTGCCTTTCGGATATATATTAAAATATTTCTGGCTTTCTGATGTATATTGAAGTGCTGCTATCTTTTTGATATATATATTTCACTGGCAATACAATTTGAACAAACAGGGCTGAGTCCCCTCCAACACACCATCAATAAACACAACAGAAGGTGCGTCATTATTCAACCCATATATTTCTCTCTTTGCTAAATTTTAGATTGGATCAAACTCATATGCTGTATAAAAGACTACAAACAGTAGCATTTATAGCAAACAGACTGTTTTTCAACAACAGAAATTTTTCATGTTATAGAAGTAATATATTCATTATAAGAGCACGAGGCCGTCAACGCATAACGTATTTGGACAGAGTTAAGAAAGTTACCGGAATCGACAACACTGCAGAAATCTTTGCCTGTGCTCGTAATCGTCAACGTTGGAGAGACATGGTAGCCCAAGCATGCATCATGCATGGCACCTGAACAACAACAACAACATATTCATTTTAAAGAAATGTTTCACCAAAATTTTCAGCAGAATCCTTAACGAACTTAATTACAAATAAACTTTAATACTTTATAAAGTGTTAAAGGCGAAATAACTTTGTGCAACGTAAATTGTTTTAAGAATGATCAACGACGAAATACAGCTTGTAATCAATTTTACTGCATCAAAAGTATGTACACAAAATATAGCTATATTTGATAATGATCTGTTGCAAGTGCCACGTTTTAAAGGTTTCTTTGTAAGTCGTGCATACAAATAAATTATTAATTACTTAATTCAATTGAGTGCTGAGACAGAATATCAAAAGAAGGATACATATCACTTGTAGACAGGAATACAGTTGGGTTGAGTTTTAGGCATAGAATTTATATAATTTGTAAATTTGTTATGTTTTATACAACAAAATCTCAAATAAGTAAACAACAGGATGTGTAATTAACTCATTCATAATCTCCATTCTATTGATAAAAGTATGAGCTGTAACGATGCCTTCAATTAAGAAGGCGCTAGAATCTCGCCCCAATACAGTTTATCCGGTCAAAAGGCCCGGTGTACTATATCCGACAATTTATATCGTTACATCCAGCTCCTCATAAGGAACAAAAGAATGTTATAATTTGAAGGACCTAAGAGTAGTTTTCATAAAAATTGGTAATCACATGTAAAACGTTCATTGTAATTTATGTCCTATAGAAGATTTTCTTTTGACTCAGGGTTCGATATGTCGGTG